GCATGATCCGAAAAGAACCTTTACATCGTAGCAGGCAGACGAAACACCGGGAACTGCTCTGTTCGAACGAAGTTCGCTTATCCTAAGCTAAATACTAATATAGTCATTCGATTAACTGAAATAATTTAAAATTAAATTAGATTTAGCAATGATCACATTTGAAGAATCATTAAACAACGTTACAGAGAATATAACAGGCTGGATGCAGTGGACTTCATAACCCAAAGCAAGCTGCGATGGAAGATTAACGCAGAAAAAATGAACTATAAGTTCTAATTCGAAAATCATCACCCAGAAAGCAGCAGTGTTATTATTCGTGGATCATCTACAGTTTGGAAACATCCTGAGGCTTGTCTCCAAGTTTCCAACAGTGCTGCCTAAGAATTATACCTGAAACATGACGGAATGTTCAAATTATGAACGAGTAGCTACTAATCACCGGTGGTCTGTAAAAATTGCAGTGGTAAAAACTCAGAAACTGGTGCCTGGCTTGGTTGATAAAATGATCAAAAATGAGAATGGACTTATGGTGTAAAGTTAGCGTGAGCAACTGGCCACAGAGAGGTTGCAAGATTATATGAAATCTGGAACGTCCTAGACCTAGTTGAGATCGACTTACCTGAGACCGAATACGACCCTTGCCGAAGCAGTGAGCGTTGCCTACCATGAATCTTAAGTATCATTCCTAACCGTCAAACAATAACTCTAGGATACTCTGCCGTTTAAGATCTGTTTGTCTTAAATATCGATGACAAAACAATAATAACAGCACGCAATCAAAACAATTATATTCACAATCAGCAGGTAATAAATTTCTGTGCCTAATTAAATGAAACCACAAAGATATCCACTTCTAGGAAGTTAAATTATCTGTATTTGTTACTTCCAGAACGTTAATTTTTCTATATGGACAAGTTCATATCGGCGTAGGCTGAAAGTAATTTGCAATTCAATCTATATATGCATGAACTGAAACAATCCATACCGGTTGCATGTTGGTTTTACTTAATTATCATCAAACCTATCCATTTACTAAGGTCTGTTATGTCTTCTGTAGGTCTGAGTTTACGCCGTGGCATAGGTGTAGGCTGAGGCTAAGGCGTAAAAGCAACATTCTCCTGGACTGAAGTGCAACAGCTTTTTTTATTCAACAGACTGCCAATTGTAGTTTCCTGTACGGCATATTGCATTATTGAAGATGCTATGAATAGTAAATGCAATAAAAATTTACCGCAAATAAGTACGTAATGATTAATTTATAATAGACAAAAATTATAATGACAGAAGAAACTAATTAAAGAAAGAACATTTCAGTACCAAACTTCCTATCTTCCCGAGCTGCGATATCAGCAGAAGGTGATAATTGCGAAACTGACTTAGCGAAACGACAGTCCGCTGATTGTCGATATCTACTGACTCCTAAACGACTCTCACTGCACAATGAAAAGGTAATGAAACAAACGTTACGAATATGCTCTTAACAGCGAAATCACTCTGATCCATTTGTTAACGTCTCTGATATACTGCAGGTCATTTCATTTCTTCGGAAGATGAACGATTCTATGAGGCCAGTGTTGGAAATCTAAAGGCCAAATGATCAGTCATGAATCTAACAATAAAGGAATAATAAACTCATCCATAAGTGTTAAAATAACAAGAACTATTATGCAAAGTAATACAGACTATCGTTAGATCTGTAAACTAAAATACGTTACCAACCAGAACGGTAAACCCTCTATACCGGTTGAACTGAAACTACTGATTTCAGCTCAGTTGAAGTTGTAAATACAGCCGTTACACCGGATCATTACTAAGCTTACTCTGACACTTAGGCCTCAGCACTACTGCGTATGTATGTTTCAATTTACGTCGCCTCGGTTTTAATGTAGGTTGAGGCTTTAATAATCCAGATAACCATGTATTAAAAGCATCGACCGAAATGCAAATTAGTTTTAGTCTATAGCAGAATGAGCAAATTACAACTCTGGATGGCAACCTATACAAACAAATAAACAAGTGTTTCTTTGTGATAAAAAACTTTAACCATCCACTACTCTGGTCACCTGGGCCGGTCGGTAATCAACGACTAATTGCGCTGGGCGCAACACATTATGTTGTCATGGGGCATAAGTTTAGCCATTATTTTGGCATTAACATTAAATAAAAACTTGCATTTCGTCTGCACTAATGGTTCAAAGTACACCTTCTTTCCGACCGAACTTATAATAAAAGCTGAACCAAGACAATCTGTTACCATTTGCATTGTCAACCCCTCGTTTCCGAGTTCATGACAGGAGTTTACTGGTGTTATTACGGATTAATAACGAATGAATAAGCATTTTGAATATACGGAACATGGCCACATCCTTCAGTATAAAAGAAAAACAAAACGTGACGAAACGCATAAGTAGATCTTAAGCGATAGGCAAATCCGGTTTAGCTCTTTCTACCACCATCCTTACAAATCAACAAGGATCCTTCAACAAGGATGCGAGCCAACGCAGAAATGATGTAACTTCTTCTCAGTTCCGTTCGAGTGTAAACCAACACTATTTCCTTTCTCGTACGAGATACAGGAACACAAAAGACGATCTGGACAAATGCAGAAAACAGAATACACGTTACCTATTCCGGCCATGCCATGCCATATTTCGCTAGTTCATCACCTTTTGGAATCCAAACCCCAGAACTGCATTACAAACCTATATACCATTTAATTTTTAAAAACAAATTTGCATTAACGTTTTGTAGCTGGGTGTTAAGCGCTACCAACTTAATCTCTAAAACTTCATCAACTTTGCAATCTATATCTTCTGACGTCATAATCAAGTTTACTACCTTATGATTCGTCCCCATCAACTATGATGCCATCACAGGTAGACTATAACAGTCTAACGAGAATGAAGTGTAATGAATTGCATGTGATACAAAAGTGTTCCTATCACCGAAATGATTCTAAACGGTATCGAATCGATGGCCAAACTATCTAATACTAATAATCGTAATAACTCAGCCACAGGAATGCGGATCAGTACCAAAGCTCAGAAACGTGTAATCCAGACACTCCGTATTTATTCGTTTAACCGCAGAATGCTTTTAAAAGCTCATACGAAACAAAACAAACAAATCCGTTCCAAAAGTTTAGTGAACGCCTGTACCTACATGGAAAAACTGGACTAAGGCCAGTGGTATTGGCCAGCTGACATTTCAGTACCCTTACGCAGAGAAATTTATCGGGATATATAAGATATATGCATCCGCTGTCCTCTACCGTAAAACGAATCGATGAACCTCCTATTTTAAGGAAAAGGAAGTATGTAACTGATGGAAAGTCGACCTTTCAGAAAACTTTCACGACGCCAATTTTGCGCCCTTCTCATGATATTAATAGAGGTCACTGATCTTCATTTCCATACCGTCCATCCGCAAAGCATCTGTTTCTTCTACACAAAACGCTACTCATGTATCAACCTGGGAAAAAGGAATAACCCTGACCCGAGAGCGGCAGGGCTACTTGGCACTGAGTGTTAGTTATCCTTTAAACATAAGAAATTGAAACTCTTAATGCGATGCCTAATTGTTATCGAAAATTCATGTAACACTGAATATCATTTCATATTAATCTATGAAAATTTTTTTAAAAACGGTTTTATTTGGCATGCTTAGTTTATAATATGGAATTTTTCGTGAAAAGCAATCAAAAACATGATGTAAAACAACACTTAAGCCGAATAACATGATTGAAAAATGTTATGCATTTAATTGCCCTTGAAAGTACACAACAAAAAATTAATTACGTTTCAAGAGAAGACTATTTAGAACACAACGCAAAATCGTTCGCAGGATCCAACAACAAACAATGGTTCAAGATAAACTTTTATTCGTCATCAGAAACACAATCATCATCCTCCTTAACACCTCTAAACCTGAAAACCGCCTTTCCGTCCTTCATCTCGTACAAAACAAGACCCATAGAGCTCCAACAGAGAATGAAGTAAAGATACTGCAAACGTCTGACATGTCTCACCGACTGTTCTTGGGTTACGAGCTTGGTACCGCGAACGAATTGATGGAATTTCTTCCGTAACTGCCAAAACATGTCCCGCGGCCGGACGGCAGAAACTGCTCAGTAAGTAGGAGCCGGCTCTTGCGTTAGCAGCAGACCGAACCGACGTTTGTTAATTATACGGTACTTCGAAAATTTGTCTTCTGGTGTAAAGCGGGCTATGATACAGAATCATTTAGAGCAAGCACACCACCGCAAAAAAATTCAACCAACTTCTCGAGTTGGATACAGAATGGTAACAAATTTACAGCTGATAATTTATTTCTACCTCCGTAACGGATTATCATAATCTGGTATTCTTATAAGAGCGATTATCGGAAACTAAACTTTTATAAATGTCTCAAAGACTCGATGACGGCTAGTTTACAGGATCAGAACAACGCAAGTAGAGTTGGTTCTTTCCGACGCGACGATACAGCAAATACAGTAAATCCTTACGAAACAGGTATCCTCAGTTTCCACTGAAAGTACGATATACTGTGCATCATATAATGGACCTTCTAGACAGATTATAACATTACGAAGATCTAATATTATTACTGTTTAGAAGAACCAGTTCGAATTAATTTCAAAAACAATACGTGGTTATACACAATAAAGTATGTAAATGCCAGTAAACAGATTGAAATTTAAGCATTAAGGCAAAAACTTAAAGAAAAACTGAAGCCAACTGGAAAGAGTGAAGGATGAGGGAAAAAAGCTGAATTTCAGAGTAAAAATTATAAAGCTAATCCTTAACTTAATATCAGTTCAACAGTCATAGCATTGGAAGCCAAAAATATTGCTTTTTAACATTCTTTTAGCTGAAAGCCAAGGAACGCGGCCATCGATGTCTCACTGGACCACATAATCACAGGAAAAACTCTTCACGTTTAGCACAACCATGCTATCTTTTATTGATAATTCTGATGACTAACTCTGCGACTGGGGATGCACAGTCGATAAAATCGTGGAAATTGGAACTGACAGGGTCCAGAATTCGAGCCTCACCCGGTCGGTTCACTCGCCTGTCTACCCTTGAGGTTGATAAATCGGCATGACTCTGTGAGAAGGGCAAAAGAAATGGCTCAATCACGAAAGCGTAAGTGACCGACATTCGAACGGTGAGAAAATTTTCTTCATTTTTCACTTAACTGTCTGAATCATACCACTGATTTTCTTACTATATAACATGATAAAACTTATGCTTCTTTGTTTACTCAGTCTCCATGATATGATTCTAAGGAAACAGTAAATTAC